AAAACAAAGTACATTTTGTTGATACACTCTCCTAAAGAACTTATTTTTGGGATACAGCAGTCCCACGTGGATCAAAAAATAGCCGCAATGTAGTACAATTAAACCCTGACGAAGATAAATACTACCTTCTCAAACCATACCCTACACTTATGCAACCACTAAAAAAATTTTCACCAGAATGCCTTAGAGCTATTGCCCGCAATCCAAATATCGAGTTACAATCGATCGGCATACACTCTAAATCCGACATTCAACATCACATACGTTCACAACAATTTCAGGAACTACTCACAAAAATTGACACTATACAGCGACAAATGAGATCAAAACCTACGCAAACTTGCAGAGACAGCAGGTTTTTCCGACATATACGCACAAGACTACAGCGGATATTTTAAAGATATAAAAGATTACATTTATTTAAATGGCGAAAAATACAGACCACAAGATGTATCACCGATAGTTTTTTTAGCTTTGTAAATTTGAAAAACGAACTTGTTGCTTTTTTAGGATGGCCCTACTACATCTTAGAAAGATTGACTATCTTATACGCAATGGTTAACTTACTTGGATTTCTTTTCTCTCTCTTAAACGAAATCTACAACACATGCGGAATACACACGCAAGTAAACAAACAAGCAAGCGTAGCACTCATACTTTGTGCAGGATTTTTTTTGAATATTTTCTACATCAATAAATAAGATACTTCTAGAGGCTCAAATAAAAGAATACATTACCAAGCTATCAACAACACCAAACACATATGACCATTCACAAAATTATGCAAATATAACAACTACACAACCTAAACCATAATCATCCATTATCATTAGTACCACGAAATTTCAGAAATATAGCCCTAACAGACCTCATAACATCGAGATCAAATTACCCACAAAACCCAATTCGACACATAATAACACAACAACCCAACATAGATGACACATAAGAACAAATTATCGAACAACCTCATACCACTAACTTTCGTTCTCAAAACAACACTCTTTTTAGCCCACGATGAGCCGCCAAGTTGGAGCACTCCATCGCTCAATTTCCTATCTAGCCAACCTCCAGAGCAACCTCCCCATTATCCCACTTTTTGCTTCTCCTCAACCTCAATCACCTCATGATAACACTTCATCCAGCATGGAATCAGACACTATTTCCAACACAACTGTATATAACACTATTTCCCAATTTAATAACTCCTATATCGAAACCCCCGACGAACTTGCCAACTCCAAACCCAGGCCATCTACATTTTCCCAACCTCCCTTTCAACCTATTCAATCCCAAGTCAAAATTGAACCCCCTTCTCCTGCTTCCCCCATTTCAATGGTAACACCCACATATTCCCCCTTAACCAGTGAACCATCCGATAACAACAGCTCTATGAACACACAACTATCTCACGAGCTTGATAACTTCATCACACTTCAACAACAATTACAGCACCCTCAAACACTAACCATTCACCAGCTCTCACAATCCATAACATCATCCAACCCATCAACCCCAACTCCCTCTTCAAACTATACCCCTTCGCAAAACCCAACTTCCCCATCAACCCCATCCTTTTGTACAAACCGAGCTTACCGATCCTTTAAATGATAATTCCCAAAAACTCCATTTCCCTCTAATTCAGGAACATCCACAAAATTTGTCAACCATCCACTTCATATTAACACAAGAGAATTTCTCCAAATATGTTTACCCTTTTTCCCCCCAGTACACTTATTTTCATTCAGACACCAATGACGAAAAATCAAATTATGTAAATGAACACGTTTTATACGCTACACTTTCATGGACATCACACTATCACTTTACTAATCCACTATCACTACCACTATATAACACATGACAACGAGCTATGAAGCACACAACCCAACTCTATCTTCTAACAACAGCACTGACCCGCAAACAATTCACACAGATAGGTTATAAACAATCACTAATCAAGTTCACCGCACCCCAATTTAATGAATATTCTTTTGACTACTACGATCAAAACATCATAAGACCTAACGAAAACATCTATCTAAACGACGACCCATTTGCTAATCCACAACTAACAGAGAAACTTTTCAACCAAACACCATAAGTTTTCACCCTCCGCACCTTAGATAAAAAATACGACCACGTCATTTCAACAGCACTCCCTGATATTTACGCTTATGAATCATACTTTAACAAATTTACCCTTTTTCACTAACCTTTTATTTCCTTATACACAAAGAACGTGATTTGCACTGTACACACGACGTCATGTTACGAACTAAACAAACACACACGTACACTTAGTACCAGTTTATCCATCACCACTACACTCTTAATAGACCAGTACGACCACCTCGCCATAGATATCAATACATTAACTCTAAATACACCTCACCATTTTTCCTTAATTTCACCTATTGTATTAAAGACGATAACCTAAACGGCATTCGCCGAAATTATGATCCCATCACCTAGATGTATAATTTTTGTCCCCTAACTAAACTCCTCAACGTAGACGAAGCCCGCCCACTAATCGTCCAATACGAATTCCTCCAGCCCGTTGAAATCCCTATCCTAGAATTCATACATAACACTCGCTATAATCATAAACTTTATAATCTTATTCAAAACACACCGTATGAACTCTCACCTAGCATTGAAGAGCACAACATCATTAAAGCACTCGAATTGCTTTGGCCACTTCTGCAGACTAAATATATCATCCGTTTGTTAGCTAAATTACTAACCTCATCAGACATCATCCACGACGTTTTCGCCCATGGATTCTTCACCGACAATTAGGTAATATGAATTGGATATTTTACTAACAAATTCGACAAAAAACTAACCATTCCTTTTAAATGTTTTCTTTTTTCTTCATAGGCACAACCATCAGTCATCTACAAAACAAAAAAGTGAAGTAAAAAACAAAACGTTTTATAGATTCATAAATTTCATTAACCAATTTCAATAATTGAAGCAATAAAATTCTCCCGTACAAAGCAATAAATTGACATACAAATTTTTTTTCCTCAAGGCAGTAAATATTCTTACAATTGAAAATAAATTAATAATTTCAACCCCCAAATTAAGCAGTAATTTTCATAAATTCAAAGTAATAAATTATTAAAAATTGCCCATAAATTGCAGAAAGCAGTACTAATCTTTTCAAAGACGCTTCTTTTATATAATCACTCGCCCACAATTTCTATCCACAATCGAACAGCTCGCCCACGAAGAATTGTTTAAAAAAACGAATTCAAGTTTTAACTTTCACTGAAATAACTCTTACCAGTTTTAACACGTTTCAAACTTTTCTTCAACCCGGTTGAAAAATAATCATATAATAATCCAAACTAACCAACGCAAGCTTACTAAACACCACAAACCGCAACTTAACAGCTTGACTAAGAAAATAAAACCCGTGATACCCAAACTGGGTTAACACCAGCTTAGATTTGGATAAATTATTCTTTTAAAGACTACTTTTAAGTCTGAACACAAAAGAACAAAACACCAAAAAGTCGAAGACAAACCCAAAACAAACAATTTGATTTTTGAGAAAAAGACATAACTAAGACAACAAAAGAGGAAACCTGTAATAACAAAGGCACGAAAAGTTGAACTAAAACAGGACCCTCCAAAAATGAGCATGAAATTATACCCTCACTCCTGGCCTAACCCACCAGAGAGGACGCCCTGAGCATGCTCTAAAGCCGGCCTCATCCACCGTGCTACATTCACGCTTTGTGACACCCACGACTCTATTTTTGACGAAAATTACTCAAGTGTGAGTAGCTCCTAAAAACAACCGAACTAATTAATAATGCTTTTGCGATAAAAATTAATACAAGACCATGAATTAAAAAAATATATTAACAAAGAGTTATATATGTAAATAAAAAAACGCAGTATTTAGATAAAATACAGCCCAAAGACGAGCACCAAGGAATTGACAACCCAATCACACTCCAACTACGGAATGGTAAGATACACCTGACATTATTTCTACAGTCACTACGGATTTAGAGTAAGACTTGGCATCGCAGCAAAGGGAACCCATTGCAACCGAACAATGGCTATCTCGATGTTCAAGTATACGTACAGATCCAAGTCACCAGGCACTGCATCCAAAGTCAAACTACACGCCACTTCCGAACGAGATTGGACCATTTCTATTCTCTAAAATCAACCAGATCAACAATCATCACAACCGATCAGAATGATAATACGATCTCCTGAAACTATCGTGACAACACCTCTTCTTCCAAACCAGAAAAAATGAATATGCTTGCAAGCTCTGAAGAAAAAACACCATCATCCATCTTTCACTACAATAGAACATTAAAAAACTAAAACTCTCTAAGCCCCGGATGGGTGGACCCAGATCTAAACTAGTATTTATCATTGGTTATTATTATGATATTTTATCTCTATAAAATATTGAATACTAACAAATCATACTCCATCAAACTAACAATCCACTTATTTGTGAGTGTTGAAACTACTTGTAGTTTCAACACCAGAACAATTTGAATTAAACTTAGAATACAGTTGTTCTCATTCTGGAACTAATCCGCGTAAACCGGTGTACACTAGATCTATTGAGACTAGGAGATATAAGAGTAAGATTAGGATTGGTATTAGACTAAGAAGTTGCACGAATCTATCCGAACGAAAATAAGATAGCGTGACGAGCAGACGGTGTACCTTATCTGAAACTACTCTATGAGTATAGTAACCAATACATAACTCACAATTGCGACTTGAGTAATTTCGTTTAAGAGCAATTTTTGCTGCTCAACAAATCAACGAAATGCTAAAATATCAACAATTTTTGCTGTTAGAAATCTATCAACGAAGGGCCGGGAAACTGCAAAAGAGGCAAAAAAATGTTGTTCAGTTTTCAGCCCATTTTTTTTCTGACTAAAAAGCAGCATGAATAAAAATTCAGAGTTGGGGGAATAACAAATCTTTTATTAATTAGTGGAGCATTTGGTTCAGGCATCTCTGGACGAAGGATGTCCGAAACCAATCGAAAACTTCCTCATTCTTCCTCCGCTGCTCTTTTTTTTCGAGCTTCTTGGGAAGTCATTCAATTCATCATCGTCGTCGTCCATTTCACTCGCACTTTCCATATCCGACAAAAAGTAACCCCCCTTGTATACACTGTTCTGACTTTTCCTGTTTCCAATAGTCCGAAACACAATCCGACAACAATAGCAGCAACTCAGCAGAGTGACGACAGCCAAAACTCCCGCAGCGACTAAAACGTAGCTCGGATACTGCATTATGTATTGCTCGAACCAAATGCGCAGAATACTCTGACCGTCTGTCAGCAAGGGCATTACATTCTCCAGTTTTCCACTCACATTTCTGATGTTCGAGTAATTTAGTCCGATCAAATGAGCAATCAAAGGGTACATGTCAACAATCTCCACAGTTCCGTTGTGCTCCAAATTTTTCCTAAATCCAGGTCCATGGCCTATAAAGACTGGTCGCATGTCGGGCAACTTATTATCCCAGCCATGCATGCCTTTCCGGTTCTTCTCCTCACTAAACCACATAGACTTGTAGGCTGTGATTCCAAGAATGTCGGGACTCCTATTTTTGTTGCCTTTGAAGTGCCACCTTTGAGGAATTGTATCTTGAGTATACCAGTCAATGTTGGGATGTTTCCTCTTCATGTCCGCAAGCTGAGCTTTTAGAAGCATCTTTTTGCCTTGTTTTGCGTAAACCAGCAAAAGAGGCCCATCAAATATTGCCTTCTCGACCAACTTTTGGTCAAAAAACTGTTCAGGTTTCGTGAAGTTCAAAGATTTTTCAACTGTGACCATACCATGATCACCAGTTATGATCAGATTATCAGATGCGCTGAGCTTTTCCAGAAGGTATCGAATTCCAGAGTCCACATTTAGAAATTGCTGGAACACAAATTCGTCGTCAGCTCCGAACTTATGAGCCGAGCTATCCGGTTCTCCTATATATAACATGGCAAACTGTGCTGGATTTGTTTCGTTATTCAAAGCATGAAAAACTGTGTCTACTAAATACGTAACTGAATACAAAGCTGCTTTATAAATGTCAGATTCGTGAACATACGTTGGCTCGAAACCTTTTATATTGTGGCCTGGGAAATGGACAACTACACTTGTAATGTTTTGTTTCTCAGCTGTCTCCCAGATCGGCTCGGAACCTTTCCAAAACTCGACGTCTTCCGAGATCATCGAGAATGTCTTTTTCAGCTGGCGATCATAAAAGTTATTCGCCACTATTCCGTGATCTTCGGGGTAGAGACCTGTGGCCATTGACCAGTGGTTTGGGAAAGTGTTTGTCGGGAAAACATTCTTAACGCCATTGGCAAGGAACGCCGAGTTCTCCTGTAGTTTACACAAAGTGGGTAAATACTCGGAATACTTTTGAATGTAGTCATAGCGAAAACCGTCTATGCTTACAAAAATAAGCTTCGAAGAAGTAAAGTTGATCAAATTAAAGATCAGAAGAAAGCGATTTCTCAATGTTTTCATATTGCAAAAAGTGCGGGAAAAATCAGTTGATTCGAATTAAACGAAATGTAATAGAAAATGACTTCTCGATTCATAAATCACCAATCTTTTAATAAGTTTAATTTAAGAACAAACATTTTCAATAATTTAAGTTTTACGCAAAAACTATTTAACGAAGACCAAACAAAGCTAAACCTCTGAAATACAATTGAAAAAACGGCAACAAGTAGTTCTAAAAACGCAAGAAAAAATGCAAAAAAAAAACAAAGAACTTCTCACAGAGAATCAAATTCAAAAACTAACTAAGTTATCCGATAGCTGTGAAAGTAGCACAGAGTGTTGCAACTGTTTTTATTACTGAAAAAAACAAAGATTTTCTTTAAACATTTGGCTCTTCTACCCGATCAAACGAGGTTATCCTACAAGATTTTGCAAGAATCTTGCAAGATTCTTATAAAGACGATGCATCTCTTTAAAAGACTTTACAAGTTTCTTGCAAGATCTTAGATAATATTCTCTCTCTTTTAAAGATAACCTTTTTCAGCAAGATCCTTAAGGAGATGATTTTGTGGGGGAAAAAAACAGCTTTAAGCGCCACGACAATTTATCAGCTTTCGTGGAAGAAAAAAGCAATCTTAGCGTTTCGCCAATATTCAAAATGAATCAACTTTACAGTTTAAGAAATGATTTTAAGAAGTTGTATATTAACTCAAACAAGACTGCTCGTATCAGGGCGAAGCCCTGAATGTTCCGACTGCCTTTTAAGGTTTATGGAGCAGTTATAACATAAGAAAATTAGTAAATGAAAGAAAATAAAACGACATTACGAAGCCAAACTGTGCACTGGATAGGCGCACAGTTTTGTGTCTGTATTTTTTTTGGAAAGATCAAAGAAAAGAAAAGAACAAAAGAAGAACAAAGGGAGCGAGCATCCTTGTTGCGGAATCCGCTGACAATGCACAAAATGCACAGTTTGGCCTCGTAATGGAACTTTTTTTCCCGACTTTCGATACGAAAGTGACGGAATATTTGTGCTCGGAGTGGGTTTTTTTTTCTTCAGACGAATTTTGACTTTTTAACTAGCCATTTTTGACAGAATTTTTTAAATATCATTCAAAAAGTATTGATGTTCTGAGCTTAAATTTGAAAAGATATTTCACCTGTGATCATTTTTCGTTAAGTTATGAGGGTTTAAAGATTGCCATTTTGGTCAACTTGGGACAATTAACGCGCGATATATTTCGCGCTATTAACGCGTAAGCGGAGATTTAATAGCCCCTAAATCCACTACTGATTCTAATAATTGTTTCATCAAATAGCCCGTATAAACCAATATAAGTCAAAATTTTTCTGTTTTTCTGCTCTTGGACCCATTCTGCACTTGAACCATTCTGCTTATTGCTCCGCCTCCGTTTATTACTTATCTCAAGTATGTTTTAAGGGAGTTCTAATGAGAGAAAATATATCAAAGTATTTCACGAACAATCACAATATAGCATTTTCCAACACAACTGGTTCATAGAGCGACAATCAATTCTGCAGCAGTGAAGCTTTTAACTCGCAAAAAGAACAAGTACTGGCCGGATTTGGACAAATAATCTTTGTCGTTCCATGCATCACCCAGAACAAAGGTGAAGAATAAGACGCTGTTTTCAAATTTATAACCTATCAAGTTATCGAATGATGCAGGGATTCTGTTCGACAGTTTGTTAACCTGAAAAAAATCACAATTCCGATTTAATAGAGCTTGCTAATGGCAAAGGTAGTATTCTTAAATTGACCCATAACAGCCCTTTTGTTAATACTTTATAGCACATCACCTCAAGCATAAAAAGTATGTGGCTGGGCTATAAATTTTTGTTAGGAAGTTGAGGGATGCCATGATGGCTAAGAGTAATTTTTTAAATAATTTTATATCCAAAAATTTTGCTCGACAAGTGCTCTTTTTGGGGAAATTTCAAGATTAAATTTTGGCAAACAAATTGCCTCTTCTTTTAGTTAAGCTTCAGCAAAATTGTTTTTTTTTTATGATTGTGCTTATCATTCTTAACTGAGCTCAATTCAAGATCAACTTTATATTTTCTATTTTTTTTTTGTTTTGGTTTTGTCCAGATGATTTATTACAGTTGATGCTACTGCTGAGCTATAAGCCTTCTCATTGAAAGCTTTGCATCATAATGAAAAAAAAAACTTTAAATCTTGTAGTTTTTTATCCAAATTCTCTAGTTGGTATCCAAAATATTAGCTTCATTCAAGTCCAACTTATGACTTAGATAAGTCATTTACTCTTTCCTATTGAAAAAAAAACACCAAATAGCTAAAATTTGACAGTAAAATTTTCGAAATCAGCTTTAACTATTCATAAACATTGCCAGACAGATGGAAAAGAGTCAATGAACGCAGAGTCAATTGCAACGAAAAATTAATTTGTGTTTAAAAAAATATCTAATTTTGAATTTCAAATCAAAAATACTTGATTTTTGAAGATTTAAAGCTCTTTGAAGTTCAAAAAATTATTGTTTGCTTTTTGTTTTTGATAACTTTATTTCGCTATTAAATCTGAAAAACATAGCAAACTGACAGCTGGAAAAGTAATGAACGCAATTTTTTTTTCAAAGAACAAAAACAATTTTGTCAGTAGCAAACCAAAATAAATTAATTTTTACAATGTTTTAGCGAGTATGTCCTCGGTAAACTTTGTTCGGCCACGTAAGAAGCTCCTTTTGATATAAACTTGACAGTAATTGATTCTGTAGTTTCGGTGTAACTTTTAAATGACTAAGAAATTCTAAAATGATCCGTTTTGGGATAAAATTTTGTGCCCGAATTTCGCAACACATATTGCACCATAATAATTCTGCTAAAACTCTAAGCAAGTTTTGTCCTCGTCCCTTTTTATCTAAAGTCAACACAGTTGGAGAAAAACGTATTTAAAATTTCATTTTTTAAGCGTTTTGTCCGGATTATTTAAATCAGCACTACAGTGCTGATTTAAATTATCCGGACAAAACGAACAAAACTTGAATTTTCAAACGCGTTTTTCTCAAATTGGGTTGAGATTAGACAAAAAGTGAAGAGAACAAAAGTTGCTTAGAATTTCACCAGAATTAATATAGTGCCATTTTTTCTCCAAAATTCTCAACGAAAATTTTACCCCAAAAATGGGTCATTTTGGCTTTTTTCAATTAATCAAGAATTACGCGGAATTTACTTTGTTAATTGATAAGAACATTTTATCACAGGAAGCCTCTTGCGCAGCTCAACAAAGTTTGAGAAGGGCTAAATCTCCAAAAATTGGCGCAAATTGTTTAAAATTTGTTTTCAAACAGAGATTCTGGGTTTTATATAGTAAAAATCACATTTATTGACTATCAAGTGAAATTTTTTTCCCTTATACTGGTTTTTGGAGATTTAACCCTTCTTAAACTTTGTTGAGCTTCGTAAGAGGCTTCCTGTGATATAATTTTATTTTCAGTTAGCAAAGTAGTTTCCGCGTAATTCTTGATTAATTGAAAAAAGCCAAAATGACCCACTTTTGGGGTAAAATGTTCGTTGAGAATTTCGGAGAAAAAATGGCACTATATTAATTCTGGTGAAATTCTAAGCAACTTTTGTTCTCTTCACTTTTTGTCTAATCTTAACCCAATTTGAGAAAAACGCGTTTGAAAATTCAAGTTTTGTTCGATTTGTCCGGATAATTTAAATAGCACTGTATTACTTATAGAATTGAAACATGTTGACTATAACATTAAATTTTAAACCCTATTTAGAATCACTTCATTTTATCTTACAAAGACTGATTTATCACAAACCTCTCCGCAAATAATTACACATTATTCCCTGTCCAAACAAGTGTTTTCAAAGTTTTACTCAATCGACGACTCAAATGTACAATTTCAGTTCAGTTTATGCAAAGAGCAAGACATTTGCTAGCTCTCGTAACAGCTAATCCATTGATGGGGCTCTTGGATTGTTTCATATAGCCACAATTGATGGTCACAATTCCTTTTTACTTTTCTCTGGTCTCATTTCCCTTTTGATTTTGACGTCGAAGTCGTAGTGGAAGAAGAGGACTATGAACCTGGCCACTCCAGCCAGCAGTACTTCAGTGATGAATTGAGATATGGAGTGGATGGGGGCGCAGGAGGCGGTGGCGAGAGAGAGCAGCCACCCGATCACCCCAAAGTGCGACAGGAAGACGTTGTTTGAGATGTCGAAGAGGATCTTGTGAGCTACCATGTCACTACTCCACATACACGCAGTTCCAGCTATTTTTCTTAAACAACAATAACCTCGCATCATTAAAAAATAGTCGATAAGTAATATCCACATCTTATCCAATTTTTCGTAAGTAAAAATATAAATTAGATCAATTGCAGTTTCTTTTTTGTATGGACGTTTCCTATTTCTAGACGCTCTTAAAGATTGGATTACTCATTTGACAACTGAATTTGACTGAAAAATTCCAAAAAAAATAACCATAACAATTTGGGTCACTAGATATTTTCAAACTTCATAAATAACTTAGAGAGATACACGGTAAGCAAAGATGACACTACTTTTTTTTTACTTTTTCCCAAGCCCTCCTCCCCCCTTCTATTGCCAGGTGGAACGACTCGAATGTTAAAACTAGAAAAAAAAACTAACTTAAGTAGCTCTGATCTCTCTTCGTTTTCCTTCTTCAACGAAGGCGTCTCAGTGTCCGGCGGGTGAGTCAGCGTCACGAACACATTGTGCGGCCTCAACTCCATCTGGAGCGCCTCGGCCAATCCACGAAGAGCGAACTTGCTAGCCGAATAGGCTGTGTAGCCGATCAGTCCAATACTGCCGGCTTGGGAGGAGAGCAGACAGATGAAGCCTGGCTTGTATTTAGCACCACTGCTCTCTCGAAGGGACTGGGACACCGCAGTTGCACTCTCCATACTATCGCCGCCTGCAGCTTCTCCCTTTTCACTGTCATTATTGCAAACTCCGCTCATAAAAGGTAGCACAGCCTAAAATAATAAACTTAATGAAAAATGAGTCTTCTCCATGGTGCAAACTATACTCGCAAAAAACATAGGCCCCAACAGAGCACAGTTTTTAAAACTCTGAGGATCCGTTACTTGATTGGAGTCCATGAATTACGAGTGGGAGGTTTGTTGTTCGCCGTTGTTTTCAAAATTCAATAGACACAAATATGATAATTTGTTTTCTTGGCAGCTATTCTAGTTTGCACTTTCGTTTTGATGATAGTTGCTTCCCATATTTGCAGAAATCACGGGAATCAGCGTATCGGATTTTTAAGAAATTACTTGTGTAAAAAGAACCTTGACGGCATTGAACGAGCCCTGGACATTAATGTCCATCATATCTTTGAACAGGTCGGTGGAAGTGTCCTGCAAAAGACGATGGGAGCTGATGCCAGCAGAACAAATCAGGCCAGTGACTGGCTTCTGACACTGCTTGCAAGCTGCAGTCACAGTTCGGTCTAGTTCTTCATAATTTGACACATCACACGAAAACACTGAAATAGACCAATTCGTATTATTGGCACACACAATTCCCTGAACACTTAACCAAAATTATTTTCACTATCCACCTAGTTCTCTTTTTAATATGAAATTAGTCCTCCAGCTTGAAAACTTAGCAGGAACTTAAAAGAATAGTTCCGTGCACAGACTAATTTTTGAAAACTTGAGTCTCCTCTAGCAAAAAGGGCAATGATCGTGTTGATGTAGCTAGGTTGATTGATTTTATTACTAATTCTTGAAGGATAGTTTTGCAAAACATTAATAACCTTGCACGCAATTTGCCGGACGACCCGATTTAGTGAGGAGAGTTTCTCTCGCCTGGTCTAACTTGCTCTTGTTCCTTGCCACCAGAGTCACTGTTACATCTTCTCCGTATTTTCTCAACAGACAATCTGCTATGGACAATCCAATGCCGCTAGATCCACCTGTTTGTAAGACAAAAAGATAAATGAAACTAGTCCAAAATTCAATTCCTCGTCAAAAAATATGACACATTTTTTACTCAAAAACTGAAAATTTTTGGCGGAGGCGGAGGAAGAATAAGCTAAAAGGAATTAAGTATACTAGTAATACAAACAAAAACCAACCTGAGCTTCATTTGGGGCGAGATAGGAGGTGGTTCATCAAATCGATGTATCAGCGAACCGATAACGGGTGAATCAGATCAAAATTGTACAAAAGGTCGTATTTCTTTTACAAACCAAAAACTCATTGAAATTAATAATCTTTTAATAAACCTTGCAATATTTGATTTGAATAATGCGCTGTTTTAAATCACTTTGTTTTTATTTGATCTCTTTATACACTTGAAATCGCAATTGAAATCATTATTCTGATGGTAGCAGGACAATCTACCCTCTTCCAAACTACCCTATACCATTCTACCCTATGCCATCATACCCTACATACCAATCTACCCTATACTAATATACCCTATATTAATCTACCCTATACTAATCTGCCCGATATACCAGTTTAGTCTGTGTCGATTTGGCGCATAATTAATGTAATCTTTCAAAGTCCTAATTAGAATTGCAAAGATAACCGCACGTGTTAACTCATTTGTGTCTAAATTTTTGGACTCAATTTGAGTCTTTCTCTTAAGGATATTGTTCTAAGGACTAAATCGCAATTTAAGCCTCAAAATCTGAAACTTGTCTCAATTAAAAGGTTTTTAATTCCCAAGTTTCAAAATCACGTACAAAAATGAAACCAAAACTGCATCATTATATCAATTTTTCTTGGATTAACATTTACCAAAATGAGTCAAATTTCTTGGGGTCTATCTCAACAGAATCGGAGAACACTTGTTATCAGTGGCCACGAGTTTACAAAAAAAACAGGAAACAAAGAATGGAAACATTCACTGGAAGTGTTCAAGATAGGGGTCCCATAAATGCAAAAGGACAGCAATAACCCGAGATAACGATCTTATTTCCTGTAGAAATGAACACACGCACGAAGTATTTCCTGGTCATTCATACGCAAGGCTTCTCGTGCAGAAAAAGAAACAGGACACAAAAATTCAGCAAGTACCGGTCAATAGCATAATTAGAGCAAACGGCCTGCATTCTGTATCCGAAGAAAAAGCCGTCCAATTAGCTCTTTCTTGCCGGTCGACGATTAACCGGATTAATCGACAGAAGGTAAATGAGAGACCCACATTGCCTCCCATTGTCGACAGACATTTTGAAGTACCAAAGCAACAAAAGGATTTTTGCGTCTTCGATAGCGGCATTGAAGATCCAGAAAGGGTGTTGATTTTTGGAGATCGCGACAATATCCAGAGCTTGATATTGCATCGAGATGTGTGGCTGTGCGATGTAACGTTCAAAAATTGCCCTATTCAATTTTATCAACTTTACACCATCCACATTCAACTCGCTGGATTTTATCCCCCCTGCATTTATGCACTGTTACCAAACAAAACAGAGCACACTTACAAAAAGCTACTGAAGGGATTATCAGCCATCACAGAAAACACCGAGCCTCACTGCATTCTCCTCGATTTTGAACGTGCAGCAGAAAACGCTTTCGCTAGTCATCATACCGGAGCGTTGCTGAAAGGCTGCTATTTTCATTTATGTCAAGCGTTCAACCGGAAAATAAACGAATAGGTCTAAAGCGATTGTACGAAACTAATCACGATCTCAATTTGTCGTTGCGCTTAATTCCAGCTCTAAGTCTTGTACCAATTGAAATAGTCAATGCTGTTTTTGACTTGGTTGTTGAGGAAACCGAAAAAGTGTCTGACAAATTCGATCTCGAAGACAACATCACTGAAAAACTTCCAGCGCACCTACATCGAAGGCGAAACCATCGGAATGAATTCTCGCGACCCTCTCTTTCCAGTAAACCTTTGGAATCATTCCGAAGAAGCAGCTGCTGGGTTAATAAGGACAGCAAATGCTGTAGAAGGCTGGCATCTTGGCGTTGCAACTCTTTAAAGGAAACCACCCATCCGTTCACACCTTTCTGGAACAATTCAAATTGGATGCTGCCAATCAAAAATTCAATATATTGAAAGCAATGGAGGGAAACAGCAACACCAGTCGCAAGAAGTACAGAGAATTGAATGAGAAAGTGAAAAACATTTGCAACAATTTTAACAAAGATTCTATTTCAACATATTTGTATTCTCTCGCGCAATTAAGTCATTCCTAACTCTGTTTAATTTATCAAACTTTATGAATTTTTCAAAAATTCAATTTAATTTCTTAAAAAAAACTCTTTTTGAGGTTCCCGTGGCCGTAGAGGGCTGATATTTTGGTAGGTAATAGAGGCCAATATCAAAAGCATTTTACTTTCTCCCTCACCCCGTTCCCCAGTACCGCCTTGGCCTGGTACTGGGGGGTCTACCACTCCTTTTGTGATCAACTAGTCAAACCCTCAGTAATTTTCGAATTTAATTCAAAATTTGACTTCTTGGTGATTTGATCTTTCGAACTTTTGATTTGAAAACACAGGCATTATCCGCTAACCTATGTCGACTTGATGTGATATGACTTTTGTTTGTTTAAGAAATAGCTGCAACGCATTTCTGTAGCAAAATTGGATTAAAATTTCTGTTTGTTCATGCTTTGAACTCATTTCCATTTTGAACAAGCAAGTTTTACGTTGCTTTGATATTTTGTTCACATGCGTCAATTATTCTTTGATCACAATTAATGGTTCTTTGATTTGTTCGGAAATATACTGTTTCAGATTCTTCAAGAGGATAGGGTAAGTTTCAATTGCTTTAATTATAGGGTAGAATGGTATAGGGTAGATTGGTATAGGGTAGTTTGGAATAGGGTAGAATGTCATGGAACCATTCTGATAATCGAGCAATTACATCTCACACAAGCAATTTCTAATTCAATTTCAACAAGTATCATAGCCAAAAACAGTTGGAAAAAGGCCAATAAACCACTTTAAAGAACGTTTATAAAACGACAAAAAGCAGACAAATGTTAATAACATAATCAGAAAATTTTAAATGCCACAATCATCAGAAAAACTAAAAAAAATGATATCCGGTTACTTTGCAATAGTACAGAGGGCTCCGACCATGTTCCAACAAAAAAAAAAACTTTTTTTTCAGATCAGTGTCATTTTTTCTTTGTGGTGTGATAAAAAGATCTGAACAAAAACAGAAAACTTAGGCATATTCGATAGTAGTAGTAAAAAGTGAAAGCTAAAGTTTTCATTCCCAAAAAGGCGATAACAAGCTCCAAAATTTACCTTAAATCGAGCAAAACTAAGAATTCACAGCTTAAATTATGCATAATTAAGCTATTGTAATCCGGTACGCTCACCTTATTAGCTCGAAATTAGACCAAAAATTTCCAACCGGTTTTCCTCAACACAGAGACACATTAAAAAAAAACTTTCAACGTCGTTCGAATCACGAACAAAAGGGTTTCAATACGACAACTCACTCGATCCATTCCGATGATTTGTTGTGCGTGGAAAAAAAAGAAAAACTAAACTACCCGAATACAAAGTTCCTCCCTATTTATCAAATTGTCCGAGCATCAATTGAGACAAAAATCTGATGGTTCTGGAGGATGGACGACTTTCAGAGGCAGAACCACTTCTCACCCGAAGAAAAGCAAGATCTATCGAAAAGCTTACTCAAGGGCGACAACGGTTTTTTCACTCGGAGGTAGTACGACCCATCTAGACTGTCTCTTAGCCTCAAAACGGCTGGAACAATGACGGCCTTGCTGCTGATGTTTATCATAGTGGCTATTGAAGCAGATCCATCGCCTGGCCCTCAACTCTGTAGCTTCTGCAACCAAACAGTCATTGGTTCCATTATGGAGGCTAGGTTGAGCTTCATAGAAAAAAAAACTTTAAAAAATCCCCGAAGTTTCTGGTATGGGGATTGTGTTGGACAACAACCAGCTGCCATAATAATCCCAATATCAGACCCACTTAAGCCTAGAAAATCTACCGACTTAAAATAGACCAACTTGTCGCTAACGACCTACGAAATACGATAAAAATATCATCAAACGCATGGAAACTAACAACATAGAAGCTGCTACAATACAGGCAAAACTGCTTAACTCTTCTTAATAAAATACCACCCGGATATCAAAGGTGACCATCACTCGCCTAATATATCTAATAGTACACCAACAAAAAGTTGCAAAAAGGCCAATTAAAATTTGAGATAAACCAATCCTTGAGAAAACTTCGGAGAAACTCTCACGCGAGGTTAGGTACGTACCCGCAAAGCTCCGCTCCGGATATTCACCCATCTTGAACAGCTGCTTGAACAGGATTGCCCTGAATTGGCAAAGCTAAGCACTGCTTGTAATCAAGGGCTACATGATGCGCATAACTTATTACCATAGTATTTAGAAGCAGGAGAGCTGACCTCGCTTTAAAATATAGTTATCAATACATGGCAGTAGTTACCGCAAGGTGAATCACTTTTGACCATCGCATTTGTAGAATTTTGCAAAATTTTGTAGAAACATCATAACTAGTAAAACTGGAAGAGACATCTGCGAGACGCCCGGGAAAAACTTGAACAATAAAAGATGAAATTAAACAATCTGTTTCGCTGGACATTAAAGAGTTGCTTAACACTCTCAAAATGATGCTTAAGATAGCCGTGCCATTAATTTCAAAAAACGGCAAACGTTGTAGAAGGATCGAATAGCAATGGGTGCATCCTTGGCAGTAACTGACAAACATTTGGATGCAATTGTTTAACGAAGTAACTGAAGACAAATCATTTCATAAAACACTAAAAAAAACATTCTGAAAAATATCCAAAACGCAGTAAAAATTTGTTTGGAACAGTAAAGGAATCGAAAATAAAAACAAAATTGGTCTCATGCTAAGAACCAAAGCATGAATAACGACAAATACAAGAAAGTAGGTGATATAGTGTGGTACTGTGAATTCTGTCATAAACTACCGGACGTTTTGACATGAAATAAACAAAGAAACATGTCCGAAAAAAACGTAGAAATTACGCTCGAGCCAATAACTTTGGGTAACGGACGAGACGAGACCACCAAACCAAACAAATAAAACAAACCCAGAGTCGTCATGAATCCAAGGGGCTACAACAGCAGCAACAAAAAACTGATACAAATTTATAATTTAAGTTACACTGTTTTCGATTTCAAAGCTGTTATATATATAAAAAAAATTTGCTGTGCAAGAAGGTCATTAAGTTCCGGCCACATTTATTTTTGCACAGGAGTAACAAAAAATTACGAAAATACTTTGATAAAGTTTTAAAGTTTGTTGTGTCCCTTGTGAGTGTGGCTAAAAGCCAGCACGGAGCAAACTTCTAATGGCTTTGATAACAAATTTTGAAAGATAGAAGCCAATTTAGCTCCTCGCTCTATATTGGTCCTTAAACATCGAACCGCCCGACTTTCTCGACTCTTTAATTTTTCTGGTGAAGTCCCATTTGCACCGACGGTCATTTGTACTAAGATAAGAAATCAGTCGAGTTTGTACCAAAATGAAAAAACGGTCCTATGTGTACCAAATAAAATAACGCGAAATATGAAATAGTTCAACGGACTATAGCCGAAAAGTAATATATGTGATCTGAAATCAATAGGCCCGGGGTTCGAAACTCGGGAGGAGCTGAAATTTGTTTGGTCAGATTACATAACATTCTGGCAAAAGAGTTCATTAAATGTGAAATATAATGAAAAATTACGTAATAATTACATTATTTCAGGCACAATTACGTAGAAAAATTGAATTTTGGCCGTTTCAACAGTTCAAATTCATATTCAACGGTTAATATCTTATCTCCGGTCGTATGAAAACAATAATCATGATATAATATGAAAAATCAAATACAAATAATAATTTTGCAGAACGGAATTTTCGATAACTATCGTTATTTAATCCACTCAAACAATTCCAATTTCTATTCTGAATTACCTTTGTTGAAGTTTTGCTGAATGATTTGTCGTGTACATGTTTCAATCGTTTTGTTGAATTATTATCACTTGAGTGAGAAATTTGCTCCTGAAAATTGTTGCCAATAATTTTATCTTTTAGAATTCCAAAGCTGTTTATTTACGATGTTTTTTGTTTCAATCGACAAAATTCCAAGTGCGAAGAATTTTAACAGCCGATTTCAGAAAAAAGTACGAAATATCCGAAAATGCACACACACACAATGACGAGCAAAAAGAAATAACGATGGAAGTTTTTCTACAGAAAGTGGTGAAAAAAGCAAAAAAAGACCCGACTAATTTTTTAAGACTTATTTATGACAACTTATTGGAGCCAAGTACGACTGTTGCGCCAGAGTACTAAAGTCCGGCCTCTACAGAACGCGAAAACAATTAATCTTCCAATTCCAACAACGGTTTCAGAAGTTTGCATAACTGGAAAATAGCGATTAACGTTGATTAAAAGCTATTCATTCTTGCGCATGATATTGATGCTGGTGATCATATTCGCTTCGGACGAAAATTTGACATTTTTTTATTCGTAGGCACTTTTGAGCGACTGAACATTCAAGTCATGTCCCCACCTTACGGACAGCTCTATGTATTGTACATTATATTCTAAGATCGTTGTTTGCCGTTAGTTTTCGGACTCTCAACCTGTCGGAAAATCAGCCTGTCAATAACGAAAACTTTTTCAAATAATCAGCGAAAAAATCAAGCGCTTGACTAATCAAAGATAGATCCCTCCAGCCATTGTGACAGACTATGAACGAGGTATCATTTCGGCCCTTGAGCCATTTTTCACGGAAACAGCTTTTTTGGGTGCTATTTTCATTTTACTCAGGCGATTTTCAGAAATGTATCGGAAATTGGTCTCTGAAAATCCTATTGTCAGGACCCAGGCTTGAAAAACTGAGAATGTTGATGGCGTCAGCATATCTAACTGAATATCAAATTGCACCCATTTTTGTTGAAATATTGAGTGAGCCTGAGGTAGCTCAATACCCGGCGATGCAAAAAATTCTCAGATACTTCCACAAAACTTGGATACAAACGTTCCTTTCTAAAATGTGGATCGTACAAAACAGGCCGACATGTCTTCGAACAACCAACTTTTGCGAGTGGTGGAACAGAATCTGGAATAGAAAAGTTCAACTTCATTCCCCAAATTTGTGACTGGTTATTCGATTTTTGAAGCAACAAGAAAAAATTGTGGAGAATCCATTGGAGCTTATAAGAATGGGAAAGCCCGCTCCAAAACAAACCAGAAAATGGAGATTGTTTTAAGAAATTCGCTGACGCTTGGTTTAAATTCGTTGATCCTTGGCAACCGTGAAACAAATAAATATTGGTATAAAATGGTCGATTTGTGTGGAAGTATGTGAAACTAAACATAAAACTTTAAAACTAATCGATATTTTAATTTGAGACTGAATAACTTTATTTCATATGATAAAGACAGTATGATATTTGGGTCTGATAATTTTTCACTTTGGTACAAATGGGATTGATTTTTTACTTTGGTACAAACGCGATTTTTTCCGCGTTTTGGTACTTCTGAATACTCACTGATCAAAACAGCTTTTATACGATATCTCACTTGAGCCCATTTCCACAACAACCGAACAACACTTCGAGGTGGGGAATATCAACGTACTTTAACTCAATTTTTACAAACCGTTGACGCAGTGTATGATTCTCTCCGATCGCGCAATCAATGCCGCAGCATTAATTCCAAAATAAATAAGCTCATTTTCGACGATACAAAATTTTGACAATTTGAAACCAAATCATTACCCTTATTCAATTTAATTGTATGATTTAAACCATTTACAGGCCACTTAATTGATAAAAAAGAAGAAATTTCAAGAATATTCAACTATCAGAAATTTATTATCGAATTTCCAACTCTCCGCGGTAATTAAAACTTATCCTCACCAATCGGCGTGAATTTGGTCAGATTATAGACCCTGATAGGTTGCACTGAAAGATTATGTAACCTTGTAAAGCTTTTTTCTATCAAATCAACAATCACTTTAAAATTAATTGAGCTTATAAATGGTTACGTGTAACTTCACCTGTAATCAGAACGTGTCGACCATTCCAGTTAATGTTTTTTAATCGGGGTTTCAAGAAGGCAACAACAGCACACACAAGACCGAGTATGGCGCTGGACAGCAGAATCCAAAAATAATCATGAATACAACAAAACAAACCCATTAATCTAAAATTGTTAAAGTTGAACAGTGGGTCATGAAAAAATGAAAACACATGAGGCAAAACTGACCCAATTACTAAATTTTTTTAATCGGTAATCAGAAGGTCGAAAGTATCATAGTAACCGAGGTTAGAGCCAGGGATCCCTTCATCACATTATCCAGTCAAAAACCTCGGAGTTTTCTAGATATGGAAGAGTAAAGTATAATGTGGACAGAAGTAGAGAGTCAGATGGTTGGCAATCAAGCCAACCAGATTGCAAAAACTAACAACTGCACAGAATAAACAAGAAATGAAAGTGAATCAAAAAGACTGACCTGATATGAGGCTACGGGTCTATCATATACTTATATGAAGCTGCGCCTTTGTTCCCTTGGCTCTATGAATAAAAGATTTCTTCGAAAGAACTTCTATCATTAAAAGAGCTGAGAACACCGGCAGCGTTCGCAACCTGTATTGCGATGAGACTCTCCGCTTAAGAAAATTACCTGCACTGGCTTCCTCGGTATAAGTGCATAAGTTCTTACAAAGCTTATTCAGAAAAAAATGTGCTAGGGCCTGCGGCACCCTGAATTTCAAAAGCTATTGGTTGAAAAATAAATCCATCATTAATTAAATCTCTATAATAACAAAGGATTTAGGAATACAATCCAAGGGTTCGCATAAAACCCAGTCATTGCAGTGTTCAAACTTTAGTTTTCAGTTATAAGTGTAAGTTTCTTCAGGTCTCTACAGTTGTTGCATTCACATAAAATGCGACAAGTGCATGTATCTGATTCGCTGTAACGAGTTTTGAAAAACTTTTGTACATTCCTAGAATTATGTTTATGCATTCTGGGTCAAACAATATGTTACATTTTAAGTATTTGTTGTACAGATTAGCAAAACGCCATGCCCGAAACCAGAAATCCGACTCTCACTTCTTCAGACGCATTTGTTCGCAGACGAAACTTTGTAACATTCGCCCGGAAGATACATATCGACGGATAACAAAACTAAGTCTTAAGACGACTGGCTAGCGTCTAAACAGAACTTTGCATGCTTTTCACCGTCTCTACCAAGCCAGTACTTTTCGGTGGTCTTTCCAACATCGGGCCGACAAAAACGTTACTGTTCTCCGGCTTCGACCAGAACGCTCAAATTAACTTAATTACATGCAAATAGTGAGCTCATGGCTGGGTCTCAGTATCCCCAGACCACGAGGTCACGCCTAAAAACAGGGTTACTACTTATTATATTACTATTGTTTTTGTTCAGTAGATAAAAATCATCATCTCCATCGAAGATGGATCAACCCTTTCCCCCAACTCCTAGCACCTCATCCTTGTAAAAACTAATCCAAATATCAATTAAATTCAAGTCAGGACATGACAGGATGCTAAAAGTTCACACGAGTCAATAAAAGTTTTCCGTCCCGAGACCCTTCCGGATTCTTGAATCCGGTGAATCAAGCCCGTTGATCTCGATTTCTTCCCAATCCGGAAGGCTGATTTCTTACCCTTCACCGTTGTTCGCAACGGCCTTGCAACTATTGTAGCAGCACAATAGTTGCAACTCGGAACGTTTTCTGCAATCTGCTGCTGTTTTCTTATCACAATTGTCGTTGCTATCGTCAGCGCAACTAATGTTGTTGTGTTTCTTCTCTCGTTTTTTCAGAAATGTGACGTCATCATTCGAATTTTTGAAATTTTAAAATACTAGAATATTCCAGCCCTCACCGTTTGGCTAAACGTTCCAATAACGCCCTTAGTTCTTAAAAACCACCAATCCGGAAGGCTTACTGCTAAAATTCCGAATTCTGCAGAGATTGCATTTTGGCCATTCTGGTCGAATGTCACATACTCCCCGGACAGTCCGGTCAATGTCCTCATTGAATCGCGCAATGTTCGTAAAATGGTTACAGTGTCATCGAACAGAATTTACAAAATGCACGAAATTACTTTTATCCACGTCACATCGACTCACTGCAGAATATAAATGGCATCATACTACATCACTATAGCCTCCAAATTCTTTCATTAATCTGCACATTAAGGATATGACTTAAGATAAACCATATTTTCTGACTTCCATTGTCAATGTCCCGATTAAAACTTTTTTCTTAGATTTAAAAGGTGTTGGCTTGCAGGACAGTCCTGCCAACCAACAAGCTAAAATTATCCTACTATGCTCCTTCCCTTCGGAAATCTTGCTTGTTTATTGTCCTGAATTTTAAAACTAAGAAACTTTGTGGTTAGAAAGAACAATGCAACAACCTCCCTCCTCAAGAAGTTACTCAAGTTTTTCATGTCACCACAAAGTGATCAGTCTTCCTAAGTGATTAAAAACAATCATGCAGGCTGGAATATTTAAATATACTCTTCCCTTAAGCCTTTCTAAATAAATAATAAGTGTCTCTAAAGCCACTTCTGCTAAAATCAAAATGCAAATTTATAAATGCAACAATTTCAAAACTCAGCAAAATGTTTCAGTTTTCAATTACAACTTGGTTGCTTGGTTTCTCACTTGAGTTTTTCACACACATAAAACAATTCTGAGTTTTAAGTTTTCTTCATCACTCCTTTGTTCTCTTCTTTTTTCGTCGTTTAGAAGTTCTAAAACTTCTAAATTCTTCTAATTCTCTTTCTTGTTGCCTCTTGTTTTCTCG